TGTGCATGCTTGATAGCCATACTAAGTCAATCTATCAATATAATAAAATGAAATATTGAACTATTATTCTAAATAAATTTTTACATAGTAATTTTATAAAAACATTCAATGTACAATCTATTGAGGATATTTAATATTTTATACTTTTGAAAGATTTTACTATATCCTACTACTTTGTTTATTTTGCAAAAAAAAACATTTGAAAGACTATGACCATTTTTTTCAGATTCTAAAAATAATTAATGAAGGTTTTTTTAATTTTCACAAAAAAAATTGAATTGATTAAAAAGTAAAAAATTGTATTTATATTTTTTTATTAATTATTTGGATAAAGCCAATCTATACACCACATCAAAATGGCTATATTAAATATTATAATAGAATGGTTTTGGAAGCCTTAAGATTCATCTTATACAAAATAAATCTTAAAGCTATATCTTTGGATAGATGCAATAAATACTATATTGTATATTTTAAATCAAATATTTAATTTTTAAAATAATAATAAAATATATTTTAAAAAATGGATTAGCCACAAACCATTGATAGTTTATTATAAATGTTTTGGTTGTCTAGTTTATCTTCATGTAAACAAATAAAAATAAATGAAGTCAAAAGCCAAAAATAAGCCTATGATTTTTGTCAAGTACGTGGCACTTAGTGAAGCTTTTTGGTTTTGAGATCTTGATTTAAATATAACTATTGAAATTTTAGATTAAAAAAATAATAAAACATCTTAAAGCTTTAATCTAGATATTTTTGGTTCCATTTTACTATCAAAATTATTGCTCTATGGCCAACATTTTCAACTTTGCTCCTTATACCAAATATTCTTCTCTAACAAATGCTTTTGTTACTTTTGATCTTATTAGTTGCAAATCTTTAATTTATCTTGTAACTATATAAAAATCATCTCTTAAATTCCTAACATATATAGAAGCTCTTGCTTCTATTGAATCCAACAAACTGTTACAAGAAATGCAAGCCAAATTTTAATCTTATGGAAAATCATACTTAAGATTTACAACCTCTCTATATTACCAAAAGGCTATCTATTATAAGCAAATTTACAAGATCAAATATGATTCTAACAACAAAGTTCAAAGATATAAGGTCTTGATTGTAGCCAAAGTCTTTACACAAAAGCATAGTATAGATTACAACAAAACATTTAGATTAGTTGTAAAACATCATTCAATCTGAATTTTACTTATTATTGTCATTGTTCATGATATGGAGCCTTAGCAATTTAACATTGGCATTGCTTTTTTAAACAATGATCTAATTGACAAGATCTCATGCTGCGACTAAAAACGTCTGTGGCAACTCTGGAAGTACTTTGACAAAACATTGTAGGAATTTCTCGATGAACATCGGCATAAATGAGGACATCGATGTTCGCGTCCCGTTCGAAGGGGACTATCTTCGGATACTGGATAGTGCGTTTGAATTCCTCAACACACTGCAAGATTAAAAATACAAATCAGATATCCATACGTGGGATAAGCACTCTGAACCAACTCTTCACCACGATAACTAACCCCTATGATGAAAACGAAGGTTTGCTCAAAAAGAATGAATACCAGAAAAACACGAGCGAACACACACGCGCAAGCAGACACTTGCAAAACAGATCTGAAATATGAAACTCACTCATCGGATTCACTTCGCTGAATACAATACTGCTTTGCGCTTCCCCCCAACCGACTTAGTCGAAGGACGTGCTGGTGCAGGGCTCCTCCCCCAGGAAAAGAATGTCTCGTATGTGTTTCAATAAGAAAAGAAAAAAGAGGAGAAAAGAAAAAAAAAAAAAAAAAAAAAAAAAAAAACAGGGAGCAAGCAAGCAGTAACAGAGAACGAAGAGAAGGTAGTACGAAACGATGTTCTCCTCCGCCCCTCCGGCCGACTTCGGGACCCCACCAGGTGGATGATCAGTCCATGGTGCCGTGCCCTCGGTTGCCGACAGAGCGTCTGCAACCGCCAAACTGTCGTCTGCGTTACCTCATACGGGCCATGGCCACGTCCCTGCCTGCTTCTTCCCACACACGGAGACATCTAAAGCCCCGGGCAACGCACAGTCGATGGCAGAAGTCTGCAAGCCTCCAAGATTCTCACCCCTTGCCGACATTCATTCCTTCAGATCTCCATTCTAGTGGCGGGAGCCCATGAAGATCGTACGAATGTCCGCACATGCCATCGATCAGCTGTCACAACTGCCGCGAAATCAGTACGTCTCCAATCAATCCGTGACCGCCACTCGAACGTCAGCCGATTTGTCTGAGCGATGGGGGTACGTCCCCATGCGAGGATTGAATTGTCATGCGCCTACAGGAACATGGCGATGGAGAGCTCGCGATCATCCAGAAGTTGCAAGCCTCCTCGCTTCCGCGCACCTACACCTCCAATTCCGACGCGTGCACTAGAGAGGAGCTGCTGCTGCAAGCGCTCGATCTCGGCAGCCAAGGCATAAATTCACGATCAAGCCACAAACACCCTCACAGTTTGCAGTTCACCGTGAAGCGCACCACCACCCAACCTCTTCTGGAACTCCTCGATCCTCCCGGACTACGCTCCCCGACTTTACGAAGTTCTGTCGTTCATCTTGGGAATCGCGATTACCTCTACGCCCACCTGTATCTCACCATCTTCCACACCAATCTCTCGTGTGCTGCGAACATGGCGCATTGCCACACGGAGGTAATTGACGGCCGCTGCCTGGGAGCACCCCGCTGCTCGTGCTTCGAATGCAGCGAGGACAACGCCTTCGGCTGCTCCAGGACCACTGACGGCCCGCTGCTCCGCGCAAAATCCCCACGCATCGTGCTCCTCCGCGATGTACACCGCTGCAAGAGATTCCCTTGCCCATTCTGCAACCCTTCTCCCCGTCGCAGGTCTCAACGACGCCAGGTCGAGGATTCCCCAGGTGCCAGACATGATCGTGACCACGAGGCTCCCACGATCATCTTAGGAGATGGCCGCATGTGTCTCTCCTAAACCCATCCACTATTGATCCGACTGCCTCTTACCAACGCCCAGCGTCGAAGTCGCTGCTGCCCGAACCTCTCCAGAGCCGAGCATATGGCATTGCCTTCGGCGCTCACAGGTGTACTGCCCTACGCCCAGAATGTATGCGTCGGTCGGCCGCACGTCCAAAACACTGCCTCACCATCTGCGGCCAATCAGTTGCTGAAGCTACCAGTCGCACCGTCTTGTTGGAGATGCAACTGTCTCGCGAGTTGTACAGATTCCTGGACCATTTTGGGCCTCGACAATAACAACAGCTCTTGTGGGGTAGCATTCAGAGTTAGTGTTCCCAACATCATTGTGTCTATACATGCGCAACGCGGATGCAACTAGCACCTCTTTTGAAACGGGTAGGCTCTCCAGCATGTTAGCATTCTTCACGCTCGGTAGGGAAATATACCGACTCTCGCAGCTGCGATTGCTGGGTGCTGACAAACTTGGTGGAATGAGAAGGGACGTGCATCTCAGTGGTTGGTGAAACCACCTCCGATACATGTAGAGCACACCATTGATTTAATGCAATCCATCTTTTCAACAGATTTTCAACAGAATGTTAGAATTTGCACAAACGTGAGGAATAACCTTGCTTCTGCTTTGTTTTGGAGACGTGGTTGTAGTGAAAAATTAGCAAACTAATGGGGCCAATAGAATGATGATGATAATCAGATGTTATTAGCAGTAGTAGTAGTAGTAGTAATCATATCACCCAGATATGAAAATTAAAAAGAAAAAAATATATGGAGTGCACATTTTAGCTCATTTTAGGAACTTTGCTAGTTTGATTCACTTTATCTGGTTGTATGGCTAGTATTCTTGTACTCTGTTTCTCTCGCATTTGTACAGCCATTTGTTCCAGTTTACTTGCTCTCTGGTTGCTTTTCCCATTTGTTTGTTCCACCATGCATTTCATCGCAACGTCCGTCCGCCCGTTCTTCTCTTGCTTTCATTCCGGCGGTGTGAACAAGTGTGTGCATCTGTGTGTGTATCGTCCGTTTTCGTTTCCATGCTTGTTTGCTCGCAACCTTCCGCCCGCCCCCTTTCCTGCAGGCCTGCCGGTGCTACTTTGGGTTTTCAGCTCATCCACGGTGAATAGTGAAACTGCCATCCATGCATTTCCATGAACAGGTGAGGCTGCACAGATTCGTTGGGAGGACTGTAGAATTGTGCATTTGAACAAGGGGATTTGCGAGTTGCCTTGATTGTTACGAAAAGGTTTCGTTTCAAGGAAATTGAAAGTTGTAAATTAAAATCTTTGCATGCAGATATGATCCGAATTATGTGTTGCAAAAGCCAACAAATATCCCCAATAGGCGGGAGTCGCCTTGCTTCTCTACCTCCGGTCGACATCCTGGCTTGCGATTGAATGGCTGTTGATCGCCACACCTTCTTCACCTAAAATCATATGCATTTCGTCATCGCCATCAACCTCCCAGTCTGAATCTGTGTGTGGAGGCCTGCCAAGTGGGAGAGACTTGGATTTGCAGCATACACCCTCCAGTCAAGTTACTAATTGGACTTGAGCATGGTGGTTTTGGGCCGGCAAGTACCTCGCGGTCTTTGAGGTGTACAATCTAGCGATCGCACCGGCGTTGGAAGTGGCCTCCCTGGTCTCACTTGCACTGCTGTAGGCAGCAGCGGATTTAACCGCCACATGTCTGAGACGCTAGACAAGCCCGAACTCACTGGCCAAGATTGATTGCAATTGTTCATTTTGTGTTTGGTTGTGGAAGTGATGATAATGTACTTAGGAATCTCTTTGGTAGAACATGAGCACCGTTGTGTTTACACAGCAGTCGGATAAGTGATCTACCGGCTTGCCAGTGCTAATTTAGGTTTACCTAGACGGAAGCAAGCATATGATGTCATTATTTGTAGCGTAACTCATAATAGTAGAGAATTACGGTAGAGATGGTTACAGATACATCATGTAATTTCAGGACAAAGATGTCAAAGTTCACCACAACCTTCGGAAATGGTTTAGAGAATACGATTTTCGCGAGCATGATTTTGAAACAGCTTGCCTTTAGAGGATCTCTTTTTTGTAAGTGAAAAACACTACGACGGTGGTGACTTCGATACCAAGAAGTTGAAATGCCGTCAATTAAACAGACAAGCTTTCAAAAGAGTCCTAATCTTTCACTATAATTAAAGCTTTCTGGGAGTCTAATTTACAATATCAGATGACTTCTTGTATTCCTGAAAAAACGGATCCCCTCTTTTGAGCAACGAATACGTCTCTCTGACCCCTTAAATCAAGTCAGCTACGTTCATTGGCATTTCATCAATTTGAGTGCTGTAATACTGCTCTATATCTCGTAAAATTCGGATATCGTCACTTCTTACAAAATTAATAGCCACGCCCTGCACATATAGTACAATTGGTTAGATTTTGGAAGTGTTTAAAATTACATTACTAAATCTAACATTAATGAGTCAGCTCCAAATTAAAAAAAGGGGACAAACCTTCCGCCCAAATCGTCCTGAGCGACCAATACGATGAATATATAGCTCCCGGTTGTTGGGAAGATCGTAGTTGATAACCAAAGAAACCTAACAGAACAATGAAGATCATTTAGGTGCTCTCTATTAAAGCCGTAGAATCTTAAGCTGAAAGGTCAAAGCAATAAATTCAAAGAAATTATTCACCACATACATCTGCACGATCGATCCGTGGCTAATTAACAGAAGAACCTGATATACAATCGTGTTGAATAGATCCAATTTTAAAAAGTAGACTTGGCTGATAAAATTCTTAACAAAAGTCCTGTTAGTGCCTACGCTCCTGAAACCACGGTAAAATGCTGTTGCACTACCATTGAAGGTTTTTAAAGTTATTTTTAACACGGGATCAACGATTCAGATCTTCACCCCCACAATACCATTCTGCAGGATCTAGTCACAAAGCAAGCACGGAAAACCAAGAAAGAAAAATACTTACCTGTTGTACATCGAGGCCACGAGCCCAGACATCTGTTGTAATCAGAACCCGAGTGGTGCCAGATCGGAACTCAGCCATGATTGCATCACGTTCTTTCTGGGGCATGTCACCATGCATTGCAGATACAGTAAAGTTGTTACTTCTCATTTTCTCTGTTAGCCAGTCGACCTGCAGACGAAATTTTTTCATTAATTGCCAACAATAATCCGAAGGGTGAGATTTAATTTTTAAAATCAGCTCACTACTAAAGTCTAACGTACAAAACCTGATATTTGAAAAAATAAGTGAATATTGTGAAGCATCACCAACAATACTGATGGCGCTTCTAAGCTTCTTGCAGCAATTAAAAAATAAATAAATAAACAACATAAAATAAATAAATAAATAAATAACAATACACTTCTTGATCTGTAATTAAACAACAATTACTTTGAAGGTGACATCCAAACAAAAAGGGAGAAATAATTTGCATACCTTCCGCTTGGTATTGCAGAAAATTACAGCCTGAGTAATTGTAAGTGTATCGTATAGATCACACAATGTATCGAACTTCCATTCTTCCCTCTCAACGGCCACAAAAAACTGTTTAATTCCCTGCCAGAAATATCCCACTAAGAGTATCAGAATTTGAGATACATCAAGTGTATTGCAATGCTGCTGAATAGACAGAGACAAGCATATATCATGGAAGTGGTGCCCTTCATCATAGCGCCACATACTTTGAAGGAAATAATACATAAGATAACATTACAAGGTTCAAGTTGATCAAAAGATGCGTTCACACCTCCAAAGTCAACTCATCACGTTTCACCAGAATTCGAACAGGATCCGTCATGAACTTGTTTGTCATCTCCAAAATCTCATGGGGCAGAGTTGCTGATACTAAAACAACCTGCACCAAATTCAAAAAGCGAATATTGAGAGATACGGAAGCATACCAACAAATATACGCCATGTCAGAATATCGTGTTTAATCCAATAACACTTTAAAAACTATGAAAAATCTCATCATCTCAATTACCTGTAATTCAGGGGGTAGATATCGATAAACATCATAAATCTGATCCTTGAAACCTCTGCTAAGCATTTCATCCGATTCATCCTGGATCACCAACAAAGCGTGAGAAAATTAAACAATATTGAAATTTTAAATACCCACATAAAACCGCATAATTTGATTCACACAGCACTTTGACACTAGAAAAAATTTTACCGACATATGAAGCTGTAGAGAGTGTCAAACTACCGTAACATATTTTCCCACTGCCCTCTAATCGAAGTGTATCCTGTTAAGAAAAATAACCTTCAGGTCCTAACTCGTGAACTCTAAAGAACCAAGAGGCAAACACACCAGAATCAGGAGCTTAATTGACCGAGTCCTCAGCGTCCTTCTCTTAATCATATCATAGACTCGCCCAGGAGTCCCAGACACCACATGTACACCATACTCAAGCTTCCGGATATCTTCTCCAATGCTCTTGCCTCCAATGCAAGCATGAGCTTGAACGTTCATGAAGTCACCAATAGCAAGGATCACTTTCTCCGTTTGAGCAGCAAGCTCTCTGGTGGGTGACAATATGAGGGCCTGCACCCTGTTGATAACAAAAGATACATTAAAAACACAAAATACAGGGCATATCGATAAAAAGTCGAGGTTGAAGCCAATGTTCCCTAGCAGAAAGACGCCTACGAACCACAGCAAAATACAATGACCAGCCGATCTATTGAATCCAAAAGGTCATTCCTAGGATTAATAAGCTGTGATACGACGACCTTCACTAATATCTACATGAGCGCTGATTAAGTTTCCCATACCAGGAAATAAACTCCTAATCAAAGGTTATAACGTAGGAAGTTGTACCAAACAAAGCGAAATGCAAGCTTGCTGAAGCAAACCTATCAGAAAAAAAATATATTAAGGCTCTTAGAGGGAGAAGACACTCACTCACGGGTTGCAGTATCAATCATTTGACAGACAGCCAGGGCAATCATTGAGGTTTTTCCTGTGCCAGACTGCGCTTGAGCGATAGCATCCCGACCACTTATAATAGGCATCACTGCTCGCTGCTGAATAGCGGACGGTTTCTCAAATCCATATGCATAAATACCTCGCAACAGGTCCTCCCTGATACCCATCTGATCAAAGCTAGAAATGACCTCCACACCTGCACTGGTCTCAAATACAAGGTTCTCCCCTTCCTCAAGCTCCTCTCGCCCCATCCGATTTCTCGGACCCCCAGTTACAGCGGCCATCGCTGATCAAAAGATGCGAACCAACTTTAAGGCAACTGCATGAGCCGAAAACAAAACAAAACAAAAAAACTAAATAAGAAAACTAAATTGATTCACAATGACTGCTCAAATAAACACCCAAACAACAGTGCTGTCGAGATCATAAAAAGAAATCCGTGACATCCAAGACATCCAACCTACCCCTTATATCTCTTGTGTATACAATGAGGAGAAAACTAAAACCCTAAACTACGCAAAAAAAACATCTACAGACCACAGCGAAAAAGCAGGTTCCATTTGACATAGTGGGTTCGAAATTCATCGCAAAGAAAACTTAAAACACGCGAGCGCCTCGTGGTAGCGAAAATCCTACCGTGAAGGAGCGAAATTACGGCAATCTTGATAGATGCAATCGAGTGGAACCCTAGTTCGTCCTGACTGATGAGAGAGCTTAGTCTTGTGATGGTCTCGCCGAGATTGTTGTGATGTCTCCCCTCCCCCCGCAAGACCCTCCCTCGCATCAGCAAGTGGAACGATGCATCGGTGAGACCGATGTGGTTTTCCTGCGGGTATCAATATCAACGGTGCTCTTCGTTCAATATATTTGTTGCCTTCGAGTGGAACGATGCATCGGTGAGACCGATGTATGTTTCCTGCGGGTATCAATATCAACGGTGCTCTTCGTTCAATATATTTGTTGCCTTCGCACTCCTGTTTTTGAAAAAATTGGTATCCGCCTCCTAAATGAATGCAAGCATACATGTGCACGAAGAACATGAATGCAAAAAATAATTAATTGATTAATTTAAAATTTAAATGTCCTCATAAGGAAGGTAAAGGAGAATGTAAGGCAGAACAAAAAATTTATTAATAAGTAAAAAAATTAAAAATATTAAAATACTATAAATATAGGAGAATGTTAAATAGACCCAAGTTTTTACCCATCTTAACCATCATGAAGAAGAAAAAAAAAAAAAAAAAAAAAAAAAAAAAAGACTTGTAGATTCATTCCTCCATTATTGGATTGCAACCAATAAAAAATCAACCACGTTTATCATGATTATCATATTCTTCATCAAGGATGGGTCTATTTAACATCTCTCTCTCTCTCTCTCTCTCTCTATATATATATATATATATATATATGTGTGTGTGCATGTGTACACATTTTAATAAAAATTATTTATGTGGATCCACTTTGAGTTGTTCTTGCTACGAAATTTCACCATTTGTAAGAATAAGAAAATTCTAAGATTGATATTTCGTCTCCACTTGGTTCCATACTTTAGTCATTGTAATGTCATAAAATACATTGTTTTTATTTTTTGCAATGATTTTTATATTACTACTACTTTGTACAAAAATATCTATCTATAATGTTGATAATGATTCTAATTAAATTTAATTAAGTCCATTTTTTTTTTAAATATCATGATTTTATGCATAACCCTATCTTCAACATCAAATATAAAAGCTTTTCTTTTTCTTTTTCTTTTTTCTTTTAGAAGTATTTATGTTGTTTTATATCTAGATTTATTTGTTAAGATAATGATGATACTTAACAAAATTATTCATTTTTATAAATAATATTATTTTTTGGATTATGTAATTTCACAAAAAGACCACAAAAAATATATAAAAATAATAAAAAATATATATATATACTTATCTAATAACATAATTAATCTAAGATTTTAATTTGAAACTTGTAATTACTTTTATTATATATATAAAAAAAACAAAAAACAAAAAAAAAAAACAAGAACAAGAACAAACAAGGTATTTTCACCATAATTTAGAACATATTGTAAAAAATTCTATTATTAAATTCAAATTTTATCAACTTTTTTTTGTCATAAATTTTATTTAATTCACAACAAACAAAAGTTATAATTTAATTAGTTCTATAAGTCTCTTAGATACCATCGAATATGATATTTTGAGACTTTAACATATATATTTATTGATTAATTTTTTAAATCAAAGGTGTATAAAATAACATTGTTTTAATTATTTCTCTAATTGCATTTAGATGTATCACCATCCTACTATCCACTATCTAAAGTGGAAAGTGGATTTATAATTTTACAAAGTAATTCCAAAGTTCTCACAATATAAAGTAACTAAACATAAATATCTCTTTATTGATATTGTCTATTACTAAATTTTTATACAAGTTACAAAATACTTCTTTTTAAGAAATTCACAAGTATTTAAAAACTATACCAACTTAAAGTATATTTTAAGGTATCAATAATAAACCTTTATTATTAGTAATAGTAGATAGTGATTTTTTAAAATCATTTTATAAATTTATAATAATCAAGTAATAAATAGTATATCACTCATATCACCTTTTAAAATCTATGATAAATTTTTTATTCTTGTAATCTATTTTTTAATTTCTTTTGTCTCTTTTCTTAATATCTCCTATTATTTATTCATTTTAAAATTTCTTTCTCAATGTCAATGTTACTAAGAAATTATTAAAATATTAAATTTAAAAAAATTAAAAATATGTATATGTAGAAATAAGTCCTTTAAATTTTCTAATTTAATTTTTTTTAATTACTTTGATTATAGAATATATTGTCAGTTGTTGTATCATTGTTTGTTTACTATACACAATAATAATAATTTTGTATGTTTTTAACTATAAAAAAATCTTAGTCTTATGGAATTGAATACAACTTAAAGAATTATGAAAACAAATAAACAAACTTTACTTATTTTTTTGAAATAAAAAAGCTAATTTTTAATATAAGATATTTTATTAAATAAATTTTTATTTATTAATTGGTACAATGAAGATTCAAAGACTAAATCTTTTTCTGATACATCAAATTAATATCTTAATTTTTTTTTAAAAGGTAAATAGAGTAAAATTATTATATTTTCATGAGATATTATTCTAAAGACTTTGTTTGAACTTATGTCTATCTATCTATTTATATATATATATATATATATATATATATATATACACACATACAATGCATACATTTCTTCAAATATGAGATACTAGATTGTACCCCCATTTCTTAAAAATTTACATTCAAAACTATTGTTATCTCCATAAACTACAATTAAAAGAAATATTTTTCAATCAAAAAACATTTTGGATTATTATCTATTTTACTTAGTTTTGTTCATAACTCAATTTTAAATTTGATTCTTAATAAATAAAATTAAAATATTCTTTTGAAAAAAGTATTTTTCTACTTTAAAAAAAAATGCTTGACATTCTACTTTGATAACCACAAACTCTATTTTTCTATATACTTGTGTTTTACTTACACAACAGTATTCTCTCAAATATTTAATTTATAAAAAAAAGTTTTTTTTTTTCTAGTACTTAAGTCCAAATTGCACAATGGTCTTGCAGCTTTTTAAATCAAAATATATTCATCAACAACTTCAATACTTCATGTTGTTCACAAATTTTACTTGTCAAATACAAAGCATGATTAATATTCTTAAGTATGTAATATCCCATAATTGAACCTCAGTAAATTTATCAACGTGAATGGAAAAAACAACTTATGGTATTCAGAAAACATACTGCATCACTACTTATATTAAATATTTTTATTCTCTTCATACAACAAATTCTGCAAATTCAAGTTGTTATTTCTATTATTGTTTGAAACTCATTATTAAACATGATATGAGTTTAGAATCTAAATCTCAAATCCTGAGTTCCTCAATAGCTTTTAAAACTTTGAATTGTCTCAATAATTCTTCTGTGATCATGTCACCACCTTGAATCTGAATTGAGTTATTTTATTTCATATTATCCACTAAAAATTTGTATAATAACGCAAATTCCAAATTACTTCAATTTCAAATTATGCGAATTTTTTTTGTTACTGTTACAACTTACAATGCTTTAAAAAGCTTTCTAGGGACCTACTGTCCATGGAGACAGGAACCAGCTCCACTTTATCAATAGCTTGAACAATACACTAGTTGCGTTCAAACTATTCTCGAAACACTTAGTTTAATGGGATTCACGCTATTCTCATATACCATGTAATCACAAAAGGAATTGTGGCCTCTAATCATACATAACACCTCGAAGCTTCATATCCTCAGCGAATCCATACCCACAAGCAGTTTCAGATCAAACTATCTGGTGTACAGAAGTGCTTTCTTTATCCTGTGCAGGGGAAGACATGAACTGCTTTAAAACCCTATTCCACGAATAAAGCCCTTCAACGAATGCACTCCAACTTCGTGGAGCTGTCGAGATAAGCATGTGATCAATGCAACAATCACGTGTTAAAATCCTTGATTAGAAGTGAAAATGTACAGCCACCGATCCCCTAGTTGGAGGGAAATATAAATGCTTGCATGAAAATGGAACAATCCACATGATGTCGGAGTTCATTCCTCATGCGAACACCACATCGGAGCGCAACACGTACTTAACGCCCTTGAGGACAGGCTTGGCTTCGTGCAATAAACAGCGAGCACCGTGAATATGGAAGAGCGCCAACCCTGCCACTGGTGCAACCTCCGCGACAACTTTTCGCCTTTCATAGAAGACCGTCTCACCGCCACTCAAACCCCCAGTCAAATAAATAAGCAACGTGAATTCAGTGGCGCCGCCTCCATCCATATCCACACTCTCGTCGTAGTGCGGGCCAAAACGCTGGCCCAGTCCATACCTGTACAAGCGAATATTGGGGTTTAATCCCACAGCAACTCTGCCTCCTGGGAGAACGATGTCGTGGAAACTCTCCCGCAATCCGGCTTGCCATAGCATATTTGCAAGGTCGGGATTGTAATCCGCTAGCCGCTCATTGTCGCGAAAAGCTTCGCCCTTAGCAGGACCCCCGCTGCCTTGGTGTTCCAATCCGCGAGCATCTGCACACCGTATGAAAGCTTCGCACTCATTCTGACTCAAAAAATCCGGCACTGTGAAGAGGTGAATGGAGTGGCTGAGGTCGCGCTTGAGAGAAGGTTTTGGAGACACAGTTGGCCAAGCCATCAGATCTTGCGATTTCAACGATTTCTTCTTATTCTGTTTCTTCCCGCTCGTGCCGGTTTTCGCCGCAGCGCCCACCATTCTGCAAGACACGTCCCGTTTTCCTTTCACACAACCTGATTCCAGACCCGCATGGAACGGCTGCACAGATATTAATCTCACTGCAGTCATCAAATTGCCCGACTTACAATCAGCCCACGTGGTTTACAAACCACGCCCCATCTGCGTCGTCAGGCCGAACACATGTCAGACCAATTTCGAAACGCTTGATACGATCACATAATTTGATGTGCAGAAGAAAGCTCAACCTCGAGATCAATGCGAAAAAGAAAAAGAACACAACACAACAACAACACAACAACAAGCAACAACCAGCACAAAAAGTTCCCATTGAAGGATTTCCAAACCTACCACAGAAACCCTAAAACTAAATCACCATGACCCATCTGAGAAGAAACGAAACATCTCACTTCTGCTGTAATCAGGAATTTTTCTAGTCATCATTGCAAGAACTTCACTTGTGAATAACGTGACACTCACCTCGCGCTGCAATTAAGACTCAGAGGACTTGCATGTGGATCTGCATGTCAACCCTCACGGAAGAGGAGATGGGGCATGTTCAAACAGACTCGGTTCGCGTAACCTCAACAGCTTCTAGGGAGCGGGTAAGGCTACAGTTTGCAGCATTGTTGAAATGCTTCTAACCCGAACACTGCAATTCAGTAAAAAAACGCAATGAAATGAAGAGGAATTTGCCAAGGATGGGCCCAGCACTCATGCGTGTATCACAAATCCACTATTCAGGCCCGTGTGTTCACATTTGTGGGCGTCAGACATAGTGAGAGAGTTGCAACTCCGGTACTGTTAGAATTACTTTAGAACTGAACCCGGAGACCTAATCCTAAGGATTAATTAACCCAAAGAATCATCGGAATATAAAACGACAAGCAGCGTCTTGTCTCTTATTGTCCCATACAGTGATAACTTAATTACAAGTCCATCTTTGAATAGATCTTTATAAGATTGGTATTGTTGCTAAGTACTCCTTCAGTAGTATTAAGGCAACTACTTGGTCTTCACTCCACACACAAGGTTGATCATTCCTTGTTAACATAACCAGAGCTTTTATAATTGCACTAAATGTCTTTACAAATTTCTTTTAGTAGTCACAAAGTCCTTAAAATGCATGCAACCAACTTACATTATGTAGTCTTGGTATCAATGCAATAACTTCCACTCTTCTAATCATTACATCTTATGCTTTTGAATATATCATGTATACAAGATATTCCATCTTATCTTAGTAAAACTTACACTTTTTAAGATATAATTTCAATTCTTATATTTCAAGTTTCATAAAAACTTCTTGCAAGTGTTTTTGATGTTCTTTGGAGTCTTTGTTAAATACAATAATATTATCTATATAGTATTTAACAAAATCAAGTCTAATAAGAACTTTATCTATCAAATGTTAAAACTCTATAAGAACATTTTAAAGACCAAATGACAAAAACTTCTATTAATAAGTGCAATTATTTTTGTATTCATCTATGCCTCAAAATATAGTCTTGTACATATTACACTCTTGTAATAGGAGTTATTAGTAACTTGATGAAAGATTTAAAGTGCTAAATATTTCAACCTAATCTATGGCCCCAAAGATCTCCTCAAGGATGGGCATGGCATGTCTATCTACTTTAATATGCCTATTCACATTTTTATAATCTCTACAAATTTTTTTCTTGGCTCAGTTGCCATTGTCATGGATATACAACTGAAGAAGGTTCCAAAAGGATCTAAAATGTTCTAGAAGGTATCAGTAGGTTCTAAAAAGGCTCTTGAAGGTTCTAGGAGGTTCTACAAAGTTTTAGAAGGTTCCAATAGATTCTAAGAAAGTTCTAAAAGGTCATAGAAGGTCCTAGAAGGTTCTAGAAGACTTTAGATGATTCAGGAAGTTGCTGAAGAAGGATCTTAGGCTTGCTTTGTTTTCAAGCCTCATAAATTTTTTTCAAGAAGCTTTCTAGGACCTAGTATATATAGTAGTCAATTATTCTTCTTCTTGGAAGTACTATAGCATTCTAAGGATTGCAAATAATCCTCCCCTAGACTAATATTGTTCTTTTCTTAATATTCTTTTGATTTCTTTTCTTTATATCATAAATCATTTTTTTTTTCTTTTGAAGGCATGTGTTTCTTTAATTTTTTCCAATATGACAGGCTCTAAAGAGATTAAGTTAGATTCTATTATTAATGCTCTTGAAGCATTGAAAATTAGGACAAAGACTTTGTCAAAGGAGAATGAAGAACTATATATAACCATACATAATGGTCAAGGAGCCGGAGTGCCTCAACTACCACATTAAATTGCAACATAGGTTCTAAATTCTCAAACAACTATGTCTACTTCAAACATGGGAGGTGCATCTACTCAAAACAATGATCTGACAACAATAACAACAAAAGAACGAAGGATCAGCCTTCCAAAAAAGTTCGATGGCACCTGCTCAAAATTTTGTGGCTTTATAAACCAAGTATGAGTAATCATCTTGCTTCAACCTCAATGATATTCCATTGAAGTATCTCGTGATGGTTTGGTTGGAACCTTGCTCTCAAGTCAAACTTTACTCTAGTTCATCCCATTATTTGAAAAGAATTCTCCTATATTGCATAATTTTGAAGCATTTTTGCTAGCATTTGCGAAAGCATTTGGTGAATATGATAAGGTTTGTTCTTCAACAACTAAAATTCAAAGCCTTCGACAAGGAATGTGCTTTGCATCAATGTATGCCTCAGATTTTTGACAATTAGTATGTGATATAAATTGGAAAGAAGACGCATTGATGAGCCAATTTCATTGGAGATTAAGAGAGGATGTCAAGGACTTATTGTTGTGTATGCGAGATCCTCTAACACTCCATGAAGCCATTAGTCATGTTGTGAAGTGTAATAACCATTTATTTCAATGACAACAAGATAAGCGTTCTTCAATTATGCCACATGTATACACTAATTATTTTGCAGCTTCTTCACCACCCAATTCTAATGAGCAATTGGAAGCAAAAGATATACAGATCGATGCAGTTTGCTTCAAACCTCTTTTTGAGCAAAAAAAAAAAAACATCGAAGGAAACTTGGCCTATGCTTATATTGTAGAAAATCTGGCCATAAAGTTAATAATTATTCAAAGAAATGCCAACGTACATATTGAATGAGAAGTGCAACCACAATATCAAAAGCGTTCCAAGAAAACAAGGGTGTCCAGCCACAATAGAGACCGTACGACTAGATTTTTTATTATTACAAACCAAAAAAGATCTTGTACTCTCTGCGAGCCTTTTTTGTTATTTTATTATACCTGTATGGTTAGGAGTTACAAAACTAGATTGTCATGCATTACTTGACTTGGGAGCCTATGCATATTTCTTTGATGAAGAATTTTTTAGATCATACAAAATCTGTACAGTTAAAAAATCCAAAGCCATATATGTAGAAGTAATGGATGGTTGACTTTTATCCATCGGAGACATCACTCATGAAACAATTCTATTAGAAATAACCTGTGATAACCATAGCAACAAAGTAATATTCAACATCATTAGATCACCATTAAGTCCAATCATTTTAGGACTATCATGGCTTGAAAAATACAATCCACGGATAGATTGGCTATTACAAAAGTTAGAATTTCTTCTAGTAGATCATAAAACTCTTAGATCTATAAAAAAACTTCTAACACCTGACAAGCCAAAACTTAAACAACATTTATTTATTGGAGCTAGAGCATTTGTGAAGGCAATTAAAAAAGATACTATATTTGTTGTCTAAGCAAATTCACAATTGGAACCTATGATTGTTACAACAACAATTCTAGAGGTGTATAAGGATTTTACAGATGTATTTGAAAAGAAAAATGTAGATATCCTACCAAAGCATCGCCCTTATAATTGTGCAATTAACCTTCAAGAAGGTGCTCAACTATCATTTGGATCCATCTACAATTTATCCTAGAATGACCTTGCGATTTTAAAAGAGTACATTGAGGAAAATTTGGCTAAGAATTTTATTCAACATTCCAAGTCACTAACTAGTACTCCGATATTATTTGTGAAGAAGAAAGATGGATCTTTACGAATGTATGTCGATTATTGCGGTCTTAATAAAATCAAGGTAAAAAATTGATATCTATTTCCGTTAATATCCAAACTTTTTAATTAAACTTAGCCAAAAAAAAATCTTTATGAAGATTGACATATAAGGTGTATATAACTTAGTATGCATTAATGAGGGAGATGAATGGAAGACATCATTTTATACCAGGTGTAGATATTTTGAATACAATGTCATGCCTTTTGGACTTATCAATACTCCAACTATATTTTAACACTTAATAAATGACATATTTTATAAGTATCTCGATGACTTTGTTGTGATCTATTTAAATGATATTTTGATCTTTTCCAAGAATTTAAAAGACCATGAAAAATATGTCTGTCTTGTGTTGAAAAAACTATGAAGTGCTAGGCTATATGCAAAACTAAAGAAGTATATATTTCATGTACTTGAAGTCGAATTTGTTGGATATATTATTTCCAACAAAGGCCTTTTTATGGATCTAAAGAAAATACAAGCAATCATCGATTGAGCAAAGCCAAAAATTGTACATGATGTCTAATGCTTTCTTGAATTTGTAAACTTCTATAGGATTTTTGTTAAGAATTACTCCAAGATTACTGCCCCACTTACGTGGTTGATATGCAAGGACAAACTAGACTGAGGCTTCAATACAAAGAAAGCTTTTCAAAGCTTAAAAGATGCTTTGATAATAGCTCCAATTTTGATAAAGATATACTCCAACATGCTTGGCAACAGTTCAATATTCAGGCTGACATGAAGTATTCAAGATTGTTGTGATCTATATATACAGCCATTTGATGAGAGGTGCTTTCAAAAAAGTGATGCCATTCTTGGAAAGAATCTATAATAGAAAGTAGCTCTTTATCATGGATTTCATAATTAATTAGAGTTTTTGTGAAAGTATCTTTTGGTGGCCTAAAATGTGGAAGGACGTTAAGAAATTTGCACTATCATGTCATACTTATTTTAGATCAAAGAACTTTCAACATCGACCATATAGACTTCTTCAATCCCTTCCTATTCCAAGACAACAATGATCATCTATCTCTATAGATTTCATTATAAATTTCTCACCATCAAACTCATTTGACACTAATTTTGTAGTTGTTGATCAATTAACCGAGATGACACATTTTATACCTTGCAAGAAATCAATTACTAGTGAAGAGACATCAAGACTCTTTATTAACAATGTCTATTATTACCACGAGTTATCAGATGACATTGTGTTGGATTCTGGGCCATAATTTGTATTAAGGTTTTGGAAGGAACTTTTTAAGATTCTTAAGGTTGACATCAACCTTTCCTCTACCTTCCACCTTAAGCTGATGGCCAAATGGAGCGGGTCAACCAAATTCTTGATCAATATTTGAAGTGCACCATCAACTATCAACAAGATTATTAGACTTCATACTTATCGTTGATGGAGTTTACATATAACAATACAATCCTATGCATCTATGCAGAAAATGCCATTCTATTCAAACTACAATCATCATCCAAAGTTAGATATGATAGAGCCTTCAAAGTTGGCAAATCCAGCAGCAAAGGAGTTTGCTACAAAGATGGCCAAACTTCAAGCAATCATGAAAATTCACCTAGAAAAGGCTCAACAACATTATAAACTATTGGAAGATGAATTGAAGAAGGAACATCCTCCATTCTAAGTTAGTGACAAAGTATGACTTCTTTGGCGCAATATAAAAACCAATAGGCCATGTAATAAGTTAGACTATCGAAAGTTGGGACCATTTGTGATTCAAAAACAAATTAATTACATAACTTATTGCTTGGAGTTACCTTCATCCATATAGATTCATCCAATCTTTCATGTTTCACTTTTTGAAAGGTATAAAGAATTGAACATACTAGATCAAAGACAACGACCACCTCTTATGGTTGAAATCAATGATCATGTTGAATTTGAGGTAGAAGAAGTATTAGATTCAAAGATAAGACATGGAAGGCTTGAATATCTAGTCTATTAGCACGAATATGATATCAACGACTACACGTGGAAACTAGCTGACAATCTTATAAATGCACAAATGAAGGTTTGAAGGTTCCATCAATGACATCCATTTAGACCAAAAGCTATAAAATGAAGAATAGTAGCTTAGTAAGATGGCTTCACCATAAAGATTCTGAGTTCTTGGCCTCATAAAGAAGGAAAAGATGCAACCTCTAAGAAGTAGTTGTTGTCAAATATTTAGAATAGTATAAGTCAGTAGTTTGAGTTCACGACTATAACTTATTTATATTCTTTTGGTCTTCTCTACTTTATATGATATGGATACTCAAGAGATAGACGCCTTACCGGTCATACCATCTCAACCAAGTAGCTTACAAAGAAAACCCTGAGATGAAAAGCCACTTGAACCATAAAGACATTAAAAGATACTTAGTAATAGGTCACTGGTAATTATGTTTATGGTAGAACTTGCCTATGAAGGACGTCTAGAAGGAATATTTGCATGGCAATTCCATAATAAAGATATTGAAGTTCATGCTTGGTCATAATTTAAAGGCTTGAGATACTATCAATGTCTACATGGGCCTATAAACCATTTACCTCGTAAAAAAAAATTGAAATATATAGTGGAGACCATGTGACAAATCTTCAACTTCTTACACATATACTAGCTTGCTGCAACATTCCTTCTCGGAGACCTCAAAGATAGAAGATGAAGTGATGTTATGGACATACAACTAAAAAAGGTTCTAGAAGGTTCCAAAAGATTCAAGAAGGTACCAGTAGGTTCTAAGAAGGCTCTTGAAGGTTCTAGGAGATTCAATAAGGTTTCGGAAGGTTCTAGTAGATTCTAAGGTTTGCTTTGTTTTCAAGCTTCATAGAAACTTCTCAAGAAGCTTCTTAGGACCTAGTATATATAGGAGTCGAGATTGAGGGGATCTTCAGTTTTAATAACTCATTTGTTATGGTCTAACTAGGATCTTCTTACCTTGTATCTAATTGTTGTTCTAATGTCAAGCTAACTTTATTTCTTGGTCTTCAATCCTTATCTTGTATATGATCCCTAATAGCCATAAATATCTTTTTTAGGTAATGTAATTATAATAAATAAATGTTCACAATCAATCAATATAAATTCTATCAACTTTGCTTCGAACAACTCTTATATATGGTTTTGTATCATCTTTTTTTCTATCTTCTTATATTTATTAGATTTGTAATAGACAAGATCATGACTTATAAAATCAATTTTTATTATTTGATTTTCAAGTATATTCAAATCATTTAAATCAAATATAAAATAATATTTTATATTTTTTAAGAAACTCTTGTTCTTTTAATTTCTTTGATTCATCTTTCAAGCCTACATTAAATATTTATGACTCTTCAATCACTACCATTTTTTATTTTATTTTATATATAACTAGCTTTATTCAACTTTATTTAGAACCTATTTAAAAATAAGTGGTTTCTCTTTTCTCATCATTTGGCTCTATCATCTCTTCCATATTTGCATCTTAGACTAAGCTTGGTCTATTATCTTGGAATACATAAGATTAACATAATTCATAAGTGTAAGTAATATTTTATATGGTTCATCCATGTGGTTTATAAGTGCTAAGGGTACTCGATTATCATTTTACACCTTTCTTAGTACTTTGTGTAGGTCTAAAATATCCTTCATACAATAATCATTAAGTATATGAATCTTACTATATATAACCTAGAATAATTCTATTGATATCAAATCAGTCCATTATAATCATTGACAATGGGACTTAAGTCTACTACAATTATATCCAATAATACATATGTTTTTAACATATTATAAATGCAAAGAATAATCTTCAATGTTCTAGCTCTTAATGATTTAGAATTGGTACATTTTCTACAATGAAATGTGAAAGTTAATTTTGAGCAATTTGGATGTGTGTACAAACTTTTATCTTGTTCCAAAATTGAACCATTTTTTAATATCTTAATCTTTGTTATACTTAAATTGAAGTGATTAAAGACAAATAAAAGCAATCATATAATTTATTACATTAATATGTTTTAAAAGCAATAGACGAAAATTAGATGGCATTTTATTTAATAATCAATAAAGTTTTCTTCATCAATCAATTATATTACATTAATATATTTTACATGTCAAATGTCATTTAAATTTTAAAATAAATTTACATATTTAGTATAAAACATAATAAGTAAAACAATAATTTAATAATCAACTCTTAAAACTAAAGTTAAATAATGATGATTAATTATATAAAAATTTAAATAAAAATAACAAATCTAAAAATAAATAAAGTAATATAAAAAATTTATTTATTTATTTATTGCAACTTTTGATAGGTATTATAATCAAACCAAGATCTTTAATTATAATAGTAAAAAACTTACAACCTAAAAAAAACATCCTACATTTTGAATCATATTCCTTAAATTATAATACAATAGCCTCAACAATATAAAACCTATACTAATAATTTGGAAAGTGAATATTGTTGATTATTTCCAATGCCTCAAATTTTGCCTTCGGAGACATTGATGCATAACCACAATAAGCGATGTATGGACAAGAAAATCAGCGACCCCATCTAAGATAAAGAAAGACGAGACGTTTTGATCCCTTTAATTGACCACATACTAAAATCATTCACAAATCTAGAAATCCTCTGGAGTTGTACTGTTTGTTTTTATTTTATGAATACGAGTTCAAGCAACATAAAAGGAAAACAAGACTCATCATAGAGTATGGAGTTTGAAATATGCGTAGTGCATTACAGCTTTGCTACACGCTGCAACTCAAGTTTTGCGATGGTACCAAGATGAACCTCATCTGGCCCATCTGCAAGCCTCAATGTGCGTGCACTGGCCCACAAATGTGACAATGGGAAGTCGGAGCTTACACCTGCACCTCCATGGACTTGGATGGCATTGTCCAGCACTCGCAGTGTTGTACTTGGGGCAGCAACCTTCACACCCAAATACCCACAATGTAATCAGTACAAAAGGCCAGACTTTTGTTGTAGAGGGAGCATCTGAAAATGTGATGCAAACAACTGCTCCCACAAGATCAAGGGATCGAAAACAAGCTGAAGAATCTGATGTCCTAGAGATACACGAGAAAAAGAAAATAAAAGAAAAGAATATAAGATTAACGAAGCACGATTGTTTTACTTTTGCCATAGCAATTGCACCCTTGGCGACTTTGTTGCCATACAAATCCAATTGGTGGGCAGCGTTTAGAACCAGGAGCCGAGTTTGCTCAATATCCAACCGAGACTGCAAAACAAGCCACTGAGGTTTAGCAGAAAAGAAGTTCTACCAAGCCTCTTGACCGTACACAAGTTCGACTATTGCCTAGACTGGTGGAATTCCCTTGTCTTGAGGAACACTTGGTGTAGGAACTTAGTTTGACTTCACAGCCAGAAACAAATGACTAGGCAGTCAAGGACTAGAGTATGAAGCAGTATCGTTTGCTTGGTTATTATTATAAATTCCCAGTGTTGAACGCAACTGATCATCGAATGTCGAAAAGCACTATGACAGACCTGAGCAAGCATCTGAGCAAACGAGCCATGTTGTGCAAGAGTTTTTCCAAACGCTTTTCGTTGATTTGCCCGCTTCACCATCAAATCCATGCCACGCTCTGCTGCGCCCACTAGCCTCATGCAATGATGCAGACGTCCTGGGCCTAACCTTCCCTGTGATAAAATCCAGAACGAGAACATGTTAGTATAACATGCGTATTTCAACGTCCGTCTGTGACACTTGAATCATCTTCTTAAGTTAGCACTTTCAATATTCTCAAAGGTGGCAGAAAAAGCAGTTTATGGGACTTTAAGCTTGCTTACCTGAGCAATCTCGAATCCTCGGCCTTCACCGAGTAATAAATTGGAGATAGGAACCCTAACATTCTCGAACTTAATTTCTGCATGCCCATGGGGAGCATCATCAAAGCCAAAAACTAACAATGGTCGAACTATCTTAATGCCAGGTGTCTTGATATCTACGAGCACCATTGACTGCTGCTTATGTAAAGCAGCATTTGGGTTTGTTTTACCCTGTACATGCAAAGAATAAAATTATCAACTACAATATCCAAACCAATTGATTAAAGAAATGTTACTAGTTGCAGTAGCTACTAATGTTCATTCACACAAATTTGAGTGCATTCCAGTAGCTTGGCTTGGTGTAAAACAATAGTATAATTATAAGATCAACTACAGCTAAAGGAACTTACAGAGCAAAAGAGAAACTCTAAATGTTTCATTATAGTACTTGTAAATCAGCAATAAACTAAAACACTGCCAGATACATTTTTTGAAGTCTTAAAACATCCAGCTATCTGGTAGTCTGCTGTTTAAAAATACTGACCATCACTATGAGCAACTGGCAGCGTGGATCCATTGCACCACTCGTCCACCATTTGTGACCATTGATGACATACTCCTCCGCTTCTCTGAAACAACTCAAAAATACGTAAGTGACGAAAACCTCGGCTTAAATAAGCCAACCATATCAAATAGATATGGTTCCTCAAAGATATGGCCACCACAGAGAGAGAGAGAGAGAGAGAGAGAGAGAGAGAGAGAGAGAAAAAAAAAAAAAAAAAAAAAAAAAAAAAAAAAAAAAAAACACCAAGGGAAGAAATTCACAAGACTAAAATACAAAAACCTGAATTCACTCTGTGTTTTGGGGGAGAAGAAGGGGGAGTTCTGGGAAAAAGCTTAGCTGCTTGTGTGTATGACTGACCTGACAATAGAACACTCGATGTTGGTCGCATCAGAAGATGCCACGTTAGGCTCAGTCATGGCAAAGCCAGAGCGTATCTTCCCTTCTAACAAAGGCTTCAACCACTGCCTCTGCTGCTCGGGGTTTCCGTACCTTAACAACACCTTCACGACATGAACAACATCTCAGATTACATCTGATGAAGAAAGAAAACAATAAAAGAAGTTTTTGATCCAGGTTACTATCCCAATGCTACCGATAATGCGAACTCGAAACTGTAAAAGTTCTAAGATTGTTTTCCAAGTATTTAACAATCTTACAGCAAAAATTGCTGTGCATACTACAGTTGCTTAACATGTTTGCAGTAATTTTAAATATTCTGACAGATGACTGTAACTCTGGGTAAACTATGTACCTCCATGTTTCCTGTGTCAGGAGCATTACAATTAAACATTTGAGGAGCCCACATGGAGCGCCCTAAAATTTCACACAGGTGAGCATACTCCAAATTGCTCAATCCTGCTCCCACTAGCCGATCAGCTGCATCTTTAGAACGCGAAACTTTCTCATCTTCAGATAGTAGATTTGAAGCAAGAGCTGCACTGTCTGCCTGTTTTCTTCAATATTCACATGAAATTTGAAACTGAATCGTCCGATTCCATCTTGAATCTTGCATGTATTCACAATGCATAAAACTTCGACATCAAATAAATCCTATGTCAAACATACAACAAAACATGAAGATGAGGCACAACATTACCGGTATCCACAGGTTCCAAAGCCCTTCTGATTTAGCCAATTTCTTAAGCCGCTCTTCGGTTGGATGAATGGTCCACCTATCATTGGAGGAATACATCAGATCACTGAGCTCCTTCTCACTAGGGTAGATATGCTTTTCCATGAAGAGGAGTAGCCTCTCTCTTAACTTCTGAACCCTTGCGGAAGGGGAAAACCCAAGGGACTTGTGATGGCTGCTTTCAGCTCCTGAACTCTCTGCAAGCGTCTCCAATGAATCTAATTTAATCACAGTAACAACCAAAAGGAAGTTTCCGAATTGAATAAACAAGATGAATGCTGAAAACTGAGATACGCATGTATAAGAACTGCATTTTACATTGAGAACAGCAAGGATTCAGTTTATACGGTGGAGCATTCTATCAACATTAACTATAAAATGTTTGCTCAACATGCTCATCTAATCAGTCCACCCATCTGCACTGTTACAGTGAGTTAACCTAGTAGTACTGAAACGACCGATAAATATTATTTTTAAGAACGAGAAAAGATCAAATTTATGGTTGACCCTTCGCGGCAATGCCACCGAATCCAATAAAATAAAATAAGAATACATACAGCAATTTTTAATCAACACATGCGATTTAGTTGATAAGATTGATACACTAAAAGTGCTATTTCGCCAATTACCTGGAGCAGAGTGAGGAGGCAAAGATTGCAACATAGGTCCTTGTTTAACCAGTCTGAGAGCAACAGCAGCAAAGAAGAGCGCCATTTTCCCCGCAACCTCTGCTCGCTGACCACCAGAAGCATTGCCCTACCAAACCAGCAAATCGGGAAATCTTCATCCTACAATCTGACGCATTTGTAAAGTAAACATATTGGAAGTACAGAAATGTAGGACATTCAGAGTAAATGTGTTCTCCTCAAGGATACACTAAGAGCCCAATTGTGATATCTCGCAGGTCATAACTGCATCGATTTGTCAAATACGAAAGCTTCAGAATGATAAACTTGACCATGTTGGAATAAACGTACTCCTACGATCAATGCCAGAAAAAATTGTCACTTATTCCTTCTAAGGCTGGACATGTCAGCAAATAAGCTCAACAAACCTGAAGCATACGCAAATAAACACCAGCATAGATGGCAGCAGATCGAAATAACGAAAGAGCGGTGTAGAAGTTCCATGTGTCAGCTGGCCAAGGCACACCCTGCACTCATGCTCTCTGGTAAATAAAAGAAACCGTGATCCCTTAAATGGTACTACGCAATCCACAAATCTATGAAAATTTGCCTTCATCTATACATACATTACAAAAAACTTCACTAAAAACTCAAGCATATTCAAATACGTGGTTGAAGATGTGTAATATTCGAATATGTGGAATAAGAGCCTTGATAGTTATGCATATTTTCTATGACACTATGAAAAGACTGGAGAAATCGAGAACCTACAAACTCCAACAGCAATCGTGCAGCTAATCACGTTGAGATGCAAGGACGAACAATCGTAATACGCTGTACTTACTGTTGCACTACAGTATTCAGCAAGGTATTCTTGTAGAGTTGGTATTCCTTCTGTGAGAGGTTCATCGAAACCAAAACCCTTCGCTGGACTCTGATTGTTATTTATCACATAAGGCTGCAACCAAAAGCAAACAACTTATTGAGAAGCTAATTGACGGAAAAAGCACTGAATGATTGGTTTAAAAACAATTACTACTGACAGCAGCTACATGGTCTAATAATAAAAATAAAAATAACAATAATAGATAAAAAAAATTACACTGAAGTACTTTCACACAACGAGCTTTTCAAGTGTACCACACAGTTGTAGGCAGCATCGGACATCTGATTCCCAAGTGTTGATAACTCCCAATCCAACACACCAATCACACGATTCTGCAACACAAAAAATAAGAAGTAAAACTCCTCAACTGTTGTGCTTAGAATACTAGCGACTACACCAAAAGACTAACTGCTAAAGGAACTCTCCTTGATAGTACACCAGTGGCCATTAAAAACTGGTAAAGCAACTCAATTTTCTTACATCGAGAACCTTCAAAACTCCTCTAAAATCGAGCAGTCAAAGACTTACCTCAGTTGGATGGAATATGAGATTGTCAAGTCGGAAGTCTCCATGCACAATTCCAGTTCTTGAGCCAGGATACCCGTCCTCTGACGGAATGTTCTCTCGTAACCATTGAATAAGTTCCATCATATTGGGGTCTGGATCAAGCTTCCCTTCGCCTGTGGATAAATGGTATTGTGCGGCCCATCTTTCAATCTGTTCAAACGGTGACGAATCCCCCTAGGTCTCAACTCTGAGAGTAGCGCACAAGACATTCGAAATTTAATTCAAAGAGGTCAAACAGAATTCCAATTGATATGAAAAAATCGCAAACCTGTCTCTTGCAGTAGTTTTCCTTCCGACCATATTGGCCCAAACCTATTGCATCAACATCTACTGAATGAATAGCAGCCAAAACTCTGGCCATTGCAACATATATGGCCCTTCGTTCCTTGGGATCCACATCCTAAAGCATAAGCAGAAAAAGTTAAAATCAGACATCTTCCAAGATTATACACAAGCATCTTCCAGCAAATCAATTACACTTTCCTCTTGGTATATTTCACAAGTTCCTCAAAAACCAATATATAAGAGAACCCTGGAAAACCAAGGAAAGTAAGCTATTAAATCCAGGAACAAGGGGTCTGGTGTAATGTTCACTAGCCTTAAACAATATGCACTGCCCTAGAATAAATGAACGCCAACGTAGTTCAAGTTTGGACATTTGTGAAACCTCCGTGAAACTTGACTCATTCTTATGTGGTAACTACTGTTAAGGAATCGAACGTCTCTTTTCTTTTGATGTTGTTGAAATTATTGAAATCATTGAAAATTTTGTCCCCTCTTTTCTGAAAATTTTGACAACTTACATTATTTCAAGCCACTGAAACACACCATCAAAATATCACTTATGGAGTGTAGATCTTACTGGTAATGTTGGATTCACAAACAAACGTCCTTCCAAGTGCTCCATGACATAAAATGGAGTGCCAATAACAGTAGAATCAGTGCACAGGCAATACACACGTGGAACCGGCACGTTCGTTTTGCCTTCGCCTAAAGCAGATAGGATCTGTAAGATCACATAACAATGTCAATGACAAGGGCCCTCAGAACCCAATCCTAGGTATGTGCATCAACAAAACACTAAGTATCTGATACTGAATTGTTTGAAGTTTTAAATCGAAATGAAATCGTATCAAATAGCAGTCTTATCTGAGACCAAAACATCTGAAATCAGATATCTTGATACAGTCTGACTATCTCATATTAGATAATCTCAGAGACGAAAAATTAAAGCACGGAATTCAGTCATAAGGGCATTCATCTTATAAATTTAGGCAGTATCATTAATGTATTAAGACCTTATAAGATTAAGTAAAGGTTCTACGTCGATTGGCTCACATCTAACCATAACAACAAAAATAAGGATAGGAATAAAATTATAGCAAGTACCAGATATTCACGCTCAACAGCGTGAGCTGATTGCAGAATATGCCCTGGTGGTTTTTTTCGAAGCACGTATCGTTGAACTGTTCCATGGAGCTCCACTTGCACTAGGTACGTGGGATTCGATTGCCCATGTCCGAACTGCATTACATATCAAGGAAGGATGCGTAGAAACAGCTTAAGGAGGGACGCACGAAGCTCTACATAGCAATTGACATCATGCTCATACACCTCCGCATGGTTTCCCTTAAGTTCAACACGAGTTTCAACATGCTTGACAAAGTTGCAGATGTATAAAAAATGCATATTCATAATTGCAAGTGTGACAGAGCATTTAAAAATAGTCTTTAGACCCTGAGATTCACAAGCCATGGCGAAATTGCTCTACGTGTGTTGAGCAACTTCCTCCACAAAAAGTTTGATATTGATCTTCCAAATAAAACAGAAAAAGATTCAATTACCTGAAACAACTGAAAAAATGCAGGTGGATGCAGAAAACCTTTGACATTTGCTTGCAAGTAGCTCAACAGGCGCCCTTCGTCGAGCCGATGAGCAGAATGTACAGGGACCACTATGTCCGAGGTTGATTTCGCCATACTGCTGCTTAATGTCCAATTGGAATTTACTGACCCGAGAAGTCGATTCCAACTGTAGAATTAGTATTCAAGCCAAAACACGAATCTGTTGTTTTTGAAAAGGGAATGCCAACAACTGCGCCAAAAAGACAAACGTATGAAATTGAGAGTCAGACAAGTACCAAGGATAGTTGATAGAAACACGATAAACATTTCTAAAGTTTCTAAAACATAACACCCTTAAGCTCCCACCATTCTCCTAATCTCGTAAATGTATATCCCAAGGCAGGCTCAATTTTGTGTGTTCCTACAGCATGTACATAACTTTAACCAGGTCATATCTGAGATCGAAACCTAGATCATATAAGATCCCAATCTGGTAACGGAGTTCATGTACGAGACTCCTCCAATGAGACTCTTCTTATACAATCTATATCATTGTAAATCTAGAAACCTCAAATCCGTTTAAGAAACTTTGGACATGTCAATATGTTTTAGCAAACATGAAGGAACGCAAGAACATACAAATCTATCCGACATGACGAGTTTTAGATATGGAGTTTTTTTCGTGCACAAAATCTACAAGCCTATCTCTTGATTTGTCAGCTTTATCAGAGGTTCTAAATTCAACTTCAGAAACGCCTTTCTAATCGATGTCGGGTGAACTTCTCTCTCAGCACAATTTTCAGTCCATGAGATATAAATCAATGAAGAGACGCCCTCAGTAACCAAAGCAAACTAAACATCTCCGCTTCCTTGCTTCTCAGATCAGCAACCTTGTTCACAATTCTCACCCCAGCGAACCCTCCATGAAGTCAACTTCACAGTTTCCGATCAACTTTCTACGAACGAAAACCCACTCGCCTTTCTTCTTAACATCAAGCAAAAGCTGCAGCAGCAACCTCAGCTCTGCGATAGCAACCTTTTCTCTTACTAAATTTCAACTACCCAAAATGAAACAGACACATCAAGTCCCCAGAAAACGATAGAAACGTGTACAGACCTCCCCGAGACAAGCACCCAGCGGAACATGCGCAATCCATCTCAAACACCACAAGACGACCACTCACTTACCTACAAATAACTGAAAAACCCTCCAAAAACTGTAAAAATTGTGGGATAGCTCCGAGTAATTCAAGAAAAGACTAACGACGGAGGAACAGAGTAAATTCGGTTAGTCCAGGTTGTCCCCAGTGCACCGAGATATCAGGCGGTAGCACGAGAAGAGATGGAAATTCCTCGTCAACGTCGCCATGGACACGGCCATAGCTCGGCTGTAAGATCAATTGAACAAAACGACGAAAGGGTGTGGGTGGATGTAAATGTTGCAAACGCAGAGAAAATGCCTGTGGACCGCAGTCAGATTTTGAATGAGACCAGTTGCGTGTCCCGATAGAGTCAGAGGTGGCTGTCGTAAAGCCTGTTGTCCATTCTCCTCATGGTACTAGCGTTTAGTACGGTAGCTTCAGTGACGCAAACATTGCGTTGCTAGAATCCCCGTGTAGGAAGCACTCTCTCGGAGATGGTGTTCTGACTACGGTTGGTGGGGCACCCACCGTGACGCCCCCTAACGTTTAAGAGAAGGTTCGTGTTAATGCTTCCAGCATAAATTCCTTCTAGATGATGTTTGCGGAGATATTGCGAAGAAAATTCACGGTTCTGTTGGATGTTGTTTCTGATACGTTGTTAAGTAATAATGGCCAATTCCTAACCCCCTCTATAAGTTCCTTAGTTCGTCGCTCCTTCCGTGCCGTCATCTTCAACCAGCTCAAGACAATAGTGTGCACAGCACACTTGTACTTGCAATTACCAGCTCCAGACATGATTGCAACAGAGTTAGTTATTCTGGAGTTCCGTGGTATCCCAAAGGGGGGGGGGGGGGCAAAGGATTTGATTCAAGAATGGTTTTAACAAAGTTTGTATAACAAGGTCAAGAGTGAGCTCCAGCGTAGTAAACAAGCGTAGTAGCATGGTACACAATAGTTTGATGAAATCGATGAACAAGCTAATACACCAAACTCTGAAGTGCTAAATCACACATCTTCACGAAGACGATCATATCATGCTGCTGGTTCGACGCTTGTTGTGACAGCACCCGTGTCGCCACTTTCTGTAACTTCCTGGTACGAACCGGTAACAGCATCATACATAAACCTGCACAGTTCATGTCATAAACTTGAGATGCCTGATCAGATATATGCGGGGTCTACTTTAAGAAGAGAATACCATAGAAATGAAGATCTTAGTGCAGACTATGTACATAATAAACTCAAAAATTCACAAGTCGATCTTCATAATATAAATTTTACCATTTTCCAGATGCAGCATTGCAGAAAAGTCCTGTGTTCTTGTCATAAAAGTGCCCATCATCAGCATTGTAGTAATAACTACACAAACCAACATGAAGTTAATCAGGAAAAGCTTTGAGAATGCAAACACTCAATACCTGCATCAACTTTCAAACTGAATCTGTCTAAAAAGACATCACACAAAAGGTTCTAAAGCTCTAAACCCATAGAAATATGTTGCAACAAAACAGTTGCAAAACTGCACTTCAACATATTACAAAAGCCGCATCAATGTAAACCAAAGTACAAATGTAAAAATAAGCAATACCCTGAATTTGCATCATAAACATATCCGGGAAGCTCGAGCAAGGTGGTGCTTGGTTTTTCCACTTGTGCTTCAGAATTGCCAGCAGTAACTCCTGCTGTAGTGGAAGGAGGCACGTCGTCATCCCCACCGAACATATCAAAAGCATCATCATCCCCAGCGGCAGATTGCACCTGTAATCCAAATATATTCAATTTACTTCCTTATTTAAATAGTTTGAAACCAATATACCAATTGGATTGAAAATGCAATAATTGTCGCAGATTTAATGATCACAGGGTGGTCCAGTCAAATGTAATTCATAGGACAAGTAAAAAGAAAGGTTCAACCGGCAAAATGGATCAAGGACGCAGCATCAAGTCAGACATTTTAAAGACAACAAGGGCACAAAAACAAAAGAATTCGAACTCATCTGTAGCAATGCTTCCTAATTTTATATGCACTCATCTCATTAGTCTTATATGAACAATCCCACATGTGCATCATTGTCGATTAAGTTCGGTTGCATGAAGTCAATAAAATTGCCTAGATATGATCTTAACGGCACCTGAGAAGAGTGCTGCATTGTCGCACTTCCAGCAAGTCCATTGCTACCACTTGTTTCACCTTTTCTAGCTCGAGCAAGGGCCTCATAACCATCTGAATAAGAACCAATTCATCTTAGGAAAAAACACTACTTTAATGAAGTGTTCAGACAAACTGGTTATGAGCGATCATATGGACCAGTTTCGGCAAAAAACTGCATGCGTACTCACCGGCTTCGCGTTGTAAGGTTTCTTTCTCTTCGTTGTAGATATCTGCACAGTAGTATTTAATGAGGAACATTGTTGATTGCTTTATACATCCTTAAGCATAGAATGCACAATAAGAATATCCAATAAATACACAACAAATGCATGTTATGAAACAATCGATTAGAGATCTTACTGTAATCGCCATTGTCTAACAGCTTCATAGCATCCTCTGTCAGACGATCAAAAATTAGCTTCGTCTCTCCAGTCATCTTTGAAGCCCATTTTTTATCCTTCGTTACTCCTCGCAATCTTCTGAAAGCTTGCAAGATCTAATCATATATATGACTCAACATTAATGAAATAATTCACACGGGCACTAAATTCCAAAAGCAGCAAGATTTTCACACCGCCGAAGTGATCAAAAGCTTGACAGTAGAAGAACAAGACGTGAAATTCAAAACAAGGTCTGAGATTAATCAACCGTTTCACCAGGTTGAAGAGTGTTCGCGATTCGCTTTTGAATTATCCACCGCTCTTCCTTTGTGAGTTCAGTATCTTCTTTTTCCATCTCTCTTTCCTTCAGTTTCCTCGCTTGAAGACTCTCATCAACTTTTGCAGTCTCAAACCATGCGTCCTGCTCCGAAAGGGATGCTTTAAGTGCAAAGGCACCACAATTTACTGAGAAAGAGAAAACAAGGCAAAAGAATATTGATAGAGCACTACAGGCAGTGACCAAATCATGGACGTGTAGTAGTCCAAACCAGTTCAACTGTCGAGGGGAAAAATTTCCAAATTCGATAAGTGGAATTTGTACTTATTCCACTCACTATCCATGTTACAGAAACCATACATTAAGAGGAATGTGAAGAAACTACCTTATCATCGTCGTTCAGCCGGTACTCAACATAATTCCCTTCGGCATCAAAATAGCCTTCTTCTCTTTCTTGATTCAGATTAAAAGGTTCAATAGTAATGCCGTCTTCAACTCTAGCGGTGTCACCCTGAGAAAAAAGCATATGACGACCCGAAAACATTAAATGGGAGAAAGAAAGAAGCAGCACAGCTCCTAAATGCGATAGGTCACTACACAGAACATGCATACATAGCAATCAGCAGATATTTATAAAGACAATCTAAAGAAGTCAAGCTGAGAAGAACTCCAACAAAATATCGCGGAACAACAGACCTCTACTTCGGCAGCAACAACATCATCACCCAATGAGACATCCTCCGAACTAAGAAGCTGTTCGTTGAGCACAGTACGCAGCATCGCACGGTTCTTTGCAGCCAGTCGTGGATCTGTGGACAAAATAGGGCCTCCATCTTCCTCCTCGCCCTCTTCCACAACTGTCCTTGGGCCAGAGTCCTTCTTCCCCTTAGGAAATCGAGCTTTTTTAGACCTGTAAACACCCACAAAGTTCCAGGTAGTGTTCTCAACTTGATTCAGCCCAAATAGAAGCAATTGCAACGTGATCATATTCTCTTCGGCCATTCACATCTGAATATAATCCGGCTATTTCTATATCCTCCACGTCTCCACACTGTCCATAATTGATTGATACGCTAATTAAATTCGACGACGCAGCTTAACTTAAGCATCCTCTACATTTTCTCTGTACATGAACGCAGAAGAAACAGAAAATAGCGAAACGAGTTGACCTCTCGACAAGCATCCCAGCCACACTAAACAAATAGTGAACAAACCAGAAAAACCACAAATGCGCTATTAAATCCCCATGCTCGCAACACCAACCACATAAAGTGGCAAGCAAAAGCTTCCGAGAAGCACAGAGTCTCACCTTGAGGCATCACTTTCGTCCGGCTCGTTAAACAAGAGGTCTTTCCTCGTGCGCTTCCTAATCTTCCCGTCCATGGCGAGCCGCTGTTGCTCAGCTCACAAGATTCCGAACGCTGCTACAGTTCGCAAACGAAAACAACAACGCAAGTACGCGCAAAAATATTGCAAGGCTCAGTATCAGGCAAACATTACAATAGAACAGCAGTAGACGCAAAGAGACAACTCATTCTCTCTGCACATGAGCTCAGACTATCGAAAAAACTTCAATTAGGGCTGGGATTGTGGGGGCGTTGGCGGTCAGTCTCGAAGCCTCCATTCAACTTTGGTTTTTCTGAGCCCCTTTGCCAAGGTGGAGGTGCGTGCCATCAGCTTCTCCTCTTCACTTATTTTATTTTAGGGTGACACTCTACAGTGCTGTGCGATCGACTTGTAAGAGTGGAGTATGAAGCAAGTCGTATATTCAATCGTCCATGAACATTACAAGTATATACAATACAGCGACGTAAGAAAATAGTAGTCATTATCCATAAGTCCATTAATCCTAATAATTTTGGAAAGTCATGGGACACAGGGTATCATGTTGGATAGAAGTGGCAAAGTAGCCACACATCAATTCCAATGTTGGGGTCTACAAATTTTGAAGTGAGTTTGAAGAAAACACGTTTTTTTTAAAGGTTCAATAGATCACATACATATAATGTGAGATAGACACCTGGAACAAATTTAGGAATTGGTTTCTAAAAATAAAGGCATAAGAGTACAAGTCCTTGTGGAGTAAAATGCCATGATTGTATTTTTAAAAGAGATATAACAATATGGTATGATTTAGTCAAATATTAAATAAAAATATATATAGGTTGGCTTTGCCATCAAGGAACAACTTCCACATTAAAACAATAAGAGTTGAGTTCTTGAAGTTTGCATTAATTTACAATTGGGGTCTAAAAATTAGGACATATTACAAATTTTTAAGCCTGTGATTCAAGGCTTAGAAGTGCAATCTATAGCATATAAGGAGGTAGATAATTAAAAAAAGAGCCTTAATGAATGTCACCAATGGTAAAGAATGATAGATAGCTAAAGATAAATAAATAAATTAATTAATTAATAAACTTTTGTTCAAAACATGATGTGTAAAGTTTATGAACTAATAGTTTACAATTGCCTAAAATCAAACCTTGGCCTCTATAAAGTAAGTATGAAGTACTAACTAAGCACTTTAGCTTCTATAGCACATACTACTTTGACAAAAAAATAATATATTTATAAAAATAGTCTACCATCTTTAAATTGTTATTTTGAAGTAACAAGTGGGCAATAAGAAGGTACAAAAGAGTTGAGTGGACTAACCTCACACATGATAATCTACTAAACAAAATTTATTTGATGTATTCAATTTAGATGTAGTTTTACAAAACCCTCTATGTAAGTGAGTGTTTAGGACTAAAAGTATGCATTGAAGTTATTATATGTATTATTAGAGCAATTAGACTTAAATAATCTACTACTTAAAAGAAAAATTAGATATTTTTCATATTCAAATAAATAGATAATTTAGAAAGAAAATGTCCAAATTTATGGTACTATAACTTTAATGATAAAAAAAAACAAAAAAAAAAAAAAAATTATAAAGTTGTTTGTTGTTGTAATAAACTCAATATAATTAATTCTATAATAAAATTATATTATTGTAGAATATTAGACATGAATAAAATTTATTTTTAATTTTTAACAAAAATAATACAAAATACTTATCATATAATAATTATAAAAGTATGTCATAAGTATATATTAATATAAAATAATTATTTTAGATATTTTAAAGGTTGTATTTGAAAAGAATTCAACTTAAGTACTTTCTTTTGAAAAAGAGTGGTATTAATGCAACTATAATCTAACATCACCTAACATTATAGTTTTTTTTACTACTACCATAACTTATTTTTATTAATTTTTAAAATTTAAAATTTGAATTTAAATTATTTTATATATAATTTAATAAAATAAAAGAACACACACACACACACACATATATATATATATAGAAATAATAACATAAAGTTAGAATTAAAACAATAAAAAAACATGTCTAGCAAATAATAGATTATAGTAGCAGTAACAATATCTTAAATGAAACAAGACTAGATTCTTTAAAGTCTAAAACCTTACCAATTCTATAACAACAAAGATCTCAATAAAATGTAAGACCAATCATATTAGAACAAAATTGAAAGTAACAAAACAAAATGGAACATGAAAGTTAGAACTCAGTAAAAGAGAATAGAACCAAACAGAATCAAACAAAACAAAATAAGAAAAAGGTAACCAAACTTTATTGAAAGAAAGAATCTAAAGCCATATCTAACCACATGCACAAATGGCCTCAATTGTCTTATTTATACTTTGTTCAACTATCTAGGTGTTACGGACATCGAAATACAGACTCAAGATCTAACAAGAAGTTCAAGAAGAACTGACAAGAATTAGATTAATCAGATGAATACAAGAACAACACCAGAGAGGTGAGCTAGAACTCCAAGAGATGTGTTGTTGAGACTGAAGAACTCTTCAGCCTCGATTCCAATATATACTCCTATTTAGGAAGCTTCTCAAGCAACTTCTACCAATTAGGAAGCTTCTAGAAGGTTACAGAGACTTGCTTCTAGAAGGTTCCAGAGACTTGCTTCTAGAAGGTTCTAAAAACTTGTCTCTAGAAGGTTCTAAGGACTATGTCCCTAACATCTTCTACCAACTAAGAAGCTTCTAGAAGGTTTCAGAGACTTACTTCTAGAAGGTCCTAGAAACTTGTCTCTAGAAGATTCTAAGGACTATGTCTCTAACATCACCCCCTCCTTTAGCTTCGAGGTCTCTAAGAAGCAATGTTGTTGTTGATTAGTACCAACGCAAGAAAATGAAGATCTGTCGCATAACGTCTGCTATGAACTCCAACTGTTGTTCACAAGGTAAGTAGTTCATTGGCCCTTGAAGCCAATGGTAGTGGCCCATGCCTTCGACTTCTAACCAAGCATGAACTTCTGTGTCCTTATTGTGAAATTGTCTTGCAAACATGCCTTCTGGCTGACCATCGTAAGCAGGCTCGAACTCAAATACAATAACCAATGATCGGTTACTCGGTATCCTCCGTCGTTATCATGGTGTAGGCAGTTCTTCATCTCGAGGTCGCCTTCGTGAGCTAGTTGGTTGAGATAATCTGATTGGCATAGTATCTATCTCTTGGCTATCCATATGAAAAGACCAAACTATAGCTACTGAAAAAATTCTATTTTATCTTGGAGAAAATAACTACATCAACTACGAATTTTGGTAGTGCTCTCCCCCTTTCTTATATTCTTGGGTGAGCAAGCTTCAGAAAGAAACTATTATCAAACTGGCTTAGGTTTATGAGGATGTTGTTGATGAAACTCCTGTACCTTTTGCGGCGCATTGGCGAGATTTTCAGTTGGCTCCCATGTTCGCTCATTAATGTCATAGTCGCACCAATGAATAAGATATTTCAACTTGCCCCACCTTTGCCGTGAATCCAATACCTTTTCAACCTCGTATTCTTCGTGGTTCTCGATTTCAATATTAGGTGGTGGACATTGCACTCTTCCAAGAAAAGACGACTCTCGATAAGGCTCCAACAGAGAAACATGAAAGACTAGATGTACATTCATAGAAGCCGATAATTCTAGACGGTACGCCACTGGATTGATTTGCTTCTGGATGATAAATGGTCCCAATCTTCGATAGTCCAACTTATCACATGGTCACTTGGTCTTAATATTCCGTCGAAGAAGCCATGCTTTATCTCTAATTTTGAAAGTAGGTGCTTGATTCCGAAATCTATCTGTAGATGCCTTGTAGGATTCTTGAGCGGATTGTAATTGAAGCTTCAACGTATTTTGAAGCTCTGATAATTGTTTCGCAAATCCTTCAACTGCTGGATTGTTATTTGTTGATGGACTCAATAAATCAAGCTTTGGATGATATCCATAGTTAGAAAAGAATGGTGTGTATTGACTCGATGCATGGAGGGTGTTGTTATACGCAAACTCGGCTAGCAGCAGATATGTAGTCCAGTCGTCTTGCTCATAGTTGATGCTGCATTGTAAGTATTGTTCCAATACTTGGTTCACCCGTTCCGTTTGGCCGTCAGTTTAAGGTTGAAAAGCCGAAGAAAGCTTGATATCCACCTTCAGTATCTCAAAGAGAGATCTCCAAAACTTTGATACGAACTGGGTTCTTCGATTTGATATGATATCATTTGATAGTCCATGATATCAATACACATTATCGAGAAAGAGCCTTGCCATGACTTCACTGGACGATGTCTTCTTGCAAGAGACAAAGTGCGCCATCTTTGTAAGCCGATCTACCACGACAAAGATGTTGTCAAATGAGTTCGATGATGGTAGGTCTGTGATGAAGTCCATGGAAACTGAAGACTATAGTCGACGTGGAATCGACAATGGCTGTAGGAGTCCATAAGGGCGATGTCGAGGATTCTTGAAACTTGAACAGATGTCGCAGGAGAGGACAAATTTTTTCACATTCTTCCACATTTGGAGCCACCAAAAATCTCAAAAAATAAGCTCCAAGGTCTTGTTGAATCCAAAATGTCCCGCAGTTGGAAAATCGTGGCGAGATTGAAGAACTCAGAGTCGTGCTGGTCCTTTTGGGATATACAACTACTCCTCAAAGTATAAAAGATCTCCCTCCACCTTGAACTTATCCTCATTGGTACGCTGCTTGATATCAATGGCTATTGAATCTTCAATGGTCACGGCACGTACCTAATTCAAGAAGTCAGCATCAATTGACACAATAGTAGTTCAAAGCCGAAATTGCTCTGGCTTCAACAATGTCGTACATTGTTCATCAAACGCTGCTTCTCCAGCCCCAATCCTATAGTTAATGGATTGCCAAGTCGAAGTGAACCATTGATAATCAACTCCAACACTAGTCAACATGATCAACATGGTAGTACAAATGAGTCAAACTCTCCAATTAGGATTCAAGTTAATAATTATGAAGTTCTTTAAATTTTATATTCACAAATTAGAAGAGTTTTATAGGGTGGTGAAATTTGCTGAAGAGGCCAAGGTAGTTTTGTTAGCGAAGAACAAAGAAGAAACTCATGAGGCAGGAAGGGAGCCAACTCAAGTGAAGTTGTAGATAGCACAAGGATGAGGATCGAGAGCAAGGTATTGTTCTTTAGCAACATTGATGTGGAGAACATTATAGATGATCAAACAACTTTGTAACATATTAATAATCAACTTCCACAACCACTATTATCAAAGTAACATATGAGTAGTACTATCAATATAAGAAAAAATTCTTTATGGAATGATGAAT